TCTCCTGACTGAATCATGACACAGGAGTGGAGCATCCCCTTCCAAAAATGTTTCATAAACACACATTAATTTTATAATCATCACTGAATAAACCTAACAGAAACTCGGCTAAAGACTTCATTTCCTGCGACAGGGCCGCTAATAAAAACTTTAAAATGGGTCTGTTCTGCAATGTTAGGCAGACTAATCATGTGATCCTTTAACATTTCTGACTTCCTCTAAGTAAAGATATTTAAGATCGGGTTGAATTCTGTGATCTTTGTGATCCTCCCTGAGATTTCTGAAATCAAGTCACCACCAACATTCACTATATCTGTGTTGTTCTTGGTGCCGAAGCTTTTAATCTCATTAACGGCATCATGATTAATGTCCTTACCTTAGCAGCTGGTTTGTTATGAGGCTGTGGCAGAGAGCTGAACGCTGTCGTACCGCTTTCTGTTGTCTGGAAACAGGCCATCTTCTTCAGTGTCAGTTTCTTGAAGGACCAAAAATCTGTTTTCTAGCTGAAATCTCATTTTCCCACTAATCTCAGTGGGTCCTTCCTTAGCTTTTATTTTGGGAGCAAACAGCTTTTTGCACCTGTTCATACTCAGGGTGGAAGTTCTCTAAATGTGGCATTCGTCCTGTCAGACGGTTTTGAGATGTGGAGCGGATTGTTTGTTCTTTGGCTTTTGCTCCAAGTGTTTCCCAGCAGGAGCAGCCAGTCTGGTTATTGTCATTAGAAGCAGCACCTCGATTCACAGTTCTGTTGCTTATTTGTTGCTCTGTAGCTGTTTAAAACCATTGGTGGGGTTATCTCAGTAACACCTGACCTCAACATATGGCAACATATGGCAAGTCTTTGTTATCCTACAATGTCCCATACTTGTCTATGTCTCTGAAAGGGGGGTCATTAGAGGGAATTGTTGGCCTGTCTGAATAGGCGAGGTCTTCTGCTCCTCTGTAAAGGGGTGGGGGTTGCAATTATAGCGGCAAGGGATCATCATAATTGCTGCATTGTAGGTTTTTGAAAGCTGAAATCTGTCTTCTATAGTTAAACAACAGCAATGCTAATTATGTGTTTGAGCAAAAACTGTATAAACCTAAAACTAAATCAAAGGTATACATGATTCTGTGTCTTCCATCAAAGGAATGAAGATATCTCGCACAACATATAACAGGACATAGATTTCATTAAACCTGCTTTATGAAAAGCACCTCTGGAAATACACTTTGTTGATTCACAAAAGAAAAAAAAAACAGATTACTTGAATCAAACTGAAATGATTGTTTAAGGAGGAGCATAACTGTGCTTAAATCTGGAGGAAATGATTGAACTGCTGACTGTACGATTTACCAGAACGTCTTTCTCAGTCTGACACAACTTGTTTTACTGGTTGTGGCATCACACTTAGGATTCTAAGTTATTTACTTCTCTGATGTCCTGCAGATACAAGGAAATAAAACGAGCTTCCTCCTCAGGGTGGCTGGGCTCTCCCTTAGAGATAGGGAGAGGAGCTCAGTCATTCGGCAGAGGCCTCCCTCTGAGGCGTTCCAGACACGTCCACCAGGAGAAGGTCCAGGAGGCAACCCAGGACACGCTGGAGGGACTATGGCTGTGTTCGAATTCATGGGATGCGTCTTCCAAGGATCCGGTCTACCTGGACTGGGTCCTCAAAAGTCTGTAAAAATAAGGAGATTGTTGTGGATTCAAACAGGTGGATTATTCCAGAACTTGGTT